CCCTCTGAACTACATGGTGCTCATGGGACATGGAGTGTGTGTGGGACTAGTGGCTGCTGCCTGTGCCTGTGGCTTTACTGTCTCGTTGGTCACCACCTCCTTGATATTTAACCTGCCCTTCCACTCCTCCAACCAGCTCCATCACTTCTTCTGTGACACTTCTCCTGTCCTCAAGTTGGCATCTCATCACTCTCACCTCAGTCAGTTGGTCTTATTCATGCTTGCCTTGTTTGCCTTGGTTATTCCACTGTTACTTATCCTGGTCTCCTATATACGCATCATTTCTGCCATTCTAAAAATTCCATCCTCTGTTGAAAGATACAAGACCTTTTCTACCTGTGCCTCCCATCTCATTGTGATAACTGTTCATTATGGTTGTGCCTCTTTCATCTATTTAAGGCCCAAGTCCAATTATTCTTCAAGTCAAGACATCCTAATATCTGTGTCATATACCATCCTCACTCCATTGTTCAATCCAATGATTTATAGTCTGAGAAATAGGGAATTCAAAACAGCACTTCGAAGACTAATGGGCCAGACTTCATGTCCTGTTAATTAAAGATTCGTGTTATAACTATTCAGTTAATTGTATGGTTTTTATGTAAAATGTGTGCTTTCACAATTTTCTCCTTTAAATGTAGGACATACTGTAACATAAGAACATTTTACATTTTACAAATAAGATGAATGAGGCTTTAAGAAGGTAAGACATTCCCAAATTCTACTATCAATGACACTCTAAGAAGGCCATGCAGATGTGGGAAGGGATTACTCATTTTTAGAACAAATTTAATCATAATTCACTGCTCAATAGCTTGATGGTTCAGAAACAAAAATGTCAACTGATGAGGCAAAGAAACATCCAAATTCTTTAGTTACAAGGAACAGAAGAAGAAAATCCTACTATCTATTCCTACCTTGCTGCTATCAGTTCTGCTTTTGCTGAAGATAACAGGCAACTTTGGATCCCTCTAATCTGCAGCAAACCTTATCTACCATTTTCAGTCCTGATTCACCCCCTTCAATCTAGCTATTGAAATGTCTTTGTCTTTACTTGGGATTCTTGTGTCCTTCCTTTGTTTGAGACCTCATTATGGAGTCTCCTTCCTATATATATGTAAATCTTTCCCATACTATCCTGCCTTAGCTCTTATATGCATTCCCTGAAAATCATACATATTTATTCTCTTCAAGGCAGCTACCAACAATGAATAATTGCTGAAATATCTCAAGTAATCTAGCAAAGGCATTTAGGTAACGTTAATAGGGTGGTGTGCTAAAGTTCTCTAAGGGCCAGCAAATCCGTGGAAAAATCCTTCAGTGACTCCCCTTCCCATAAATGATGAAGCCAAGAGCCCCATGTTATCAATAATTTATTATCTAGTCTCTGTTCTACCTCTCTGGCATTATTGTTTTTAAAATTATTATTATTTCTCATTTGTGCTTAATTACTCATTCTGAAGCTAATCTGGTCTTCAAAGTGACATGATTCTGTATTCTGCCATGTTTTCTCATATGCTGCTTCTTCTCTTTGAAGTTGCTCCTTTCTTTTAATTAATTTTCATATTTTATCTCATAATTTAGGACAACCTGAGATATTCTCTCACTTTCTCTCTAAAGCCTTCTTGTCTCACTGTCACGCTCTGCTAATAGTGTTAAGCTCTGCCTTCTTTGTGTTCTCATAGCACCCAGGATGTATTTTTATCATATCTCTTATTATTTCAACAAATATTTACTCATTTCTTAATATGTACCAGGTACTGCTTTTAGCTACTGGAAACTGATGATGAACAAAATGTGTGTGCTCTCTGTCCTCATGGACCCGAGGTCTGGTTTGAAAGATTCCCAGTAAACATAAATTCAGGTAAAAGCAATTTACCAAAAACTGAAGTCTATTCTCTGAAGAAAAAGTAAATGCAGGAGCTAGGGGAGAGAGTACTAAAAGAAACCTAATTTAGATTGAGTGTGGGGCTGGACACCCTAGAGACTTGATGCATAATCTATAAGCTGAAGGGTAAGTAGGAGTCACTAGGTAAAGGGAATTATTTGGAGAGATCTTTTTAGACAGAAGGAACAACATGTACAAAATCCCTGAAGGAAGCAAGAGCTGGATGAGTTGGAGGCAAGCAAAGGCCAACATACCCACTTTTTGGTCTCTCCCTAGAACAAATCTGAATTTCCTGAAGACACAGACTTTATATTAAACACAGCCTTGTTGATCCTGTTTCTTCTATAGTGCCTGGAATAAAAGGGATCTTGATATTATGAATAGTCTTGCCTATTCTGCCATTTTCTGCCCCAAAGCTTGCTTAGCCATCTTCATGCCCTTTTATAGTGAATGCCAGCTCTGTTCTCTCAGCTACCCAGGCCACGCACCTGAAAGTCACTTTTGTCGCTCTTTTCTTTTATTTCTTACACCGCATATTGAATCAGCCAGTAAGTCCTATAGAATCTACTGGCTTATAGGTTTTTCAGTCATGTCCCTTCTCTCCAGATCTCTCATTATTCTTAGTCTGGTTCTCCTCCTACCTTGCCATGCTGTCACCCCTTGCTCTTGGTCTCCCTTGAAATACAGCTCTCTAAATGTGGTGGAAGATCAGTGTTTCAAGAGGCTTTCTAGACAACATTTGATAAGATGATTCTAGGGGCTGGCCAGGGGCATAGTGGTTTGGAAGACCGGAGTTTGCAAGCCTGGATCCCAGGTGCAGACCTAGCACTGCTTATCAAGCCACACTGTGGCAGCATCCCACATAAAACAGAGGAAGCTTGATACAAATGTTAGCTCAGCAACAATCTTCCTCAAGGAAAAAGAGGAGGATTGGCAACAGATGTTAGGTCAGGACCAATCTTCCTCACAAAAAGGAAAAAAAAATAGATGACTCTAGTGTCAATCCTAGGGACTAATGCTGGCTTGGAGGCTTCACTGGTGTGATCAGAATGTCAGTGCCTAGGACTCTTGTCAGTAGAATGGACTTTGGTTTTCTCATCTATTCTTTCACTGAAACTGTTCTGAGATCTAAATGAATTTTTTCCTTCAGGAAAAGGGTTGGAAGACAGAGCCAGCCAGACTCCCAATTCCTGTTTTATTTCCATGGCAGTAATTTAGCTTTGCTCTCTTCAACAGCTCCAGTCTGCTTATCCAAATCTGTTCAGTCATTTCACCAAATTTTGCCTTTGTTCACAAAGGGAGGACGTGAAATAGCATGAAGACATCTGCATAAATCCAATCTTCATACTAATAACAGACCTCAAATAATAAACTGTCCATTTGGATTCCTGCAAAGGAAGAGACACACAATTTCTATTTCAGATAACACTGAAAGGGAAGTCTGAAAATCTAATTTGTTGTCCTGTCCTGACAGCTGAATGTCCTTGTGCAAGTAGTGTACTCTGTCTGGACTTCATTTTCCATAGCTATAATAATAACTTACATGTTTAGGGCTGGCTCCATGGCTGAGTGGTTAAGTTTTCAATCTCCACTTCAGCCACCCAGGGTTTCACCACTTTGGATTTGGGTGCGGAACTAGCACTGCTCATCAGGCCATGCTAAGGTGGGATCTCACATAGCAGAACCAGAAAGACCTACAACTAGAATATACAACTATGTACAGGGGAGCTTTAGGAAGTAGAAGAAGAAAAAAAAAGATTAGCAACAGATGTTAGCTAAGGTGCCAATCTTTAAAAATAAATAAATAAATTACTTACATGTTTATATTATCTTATGTTTTACAAACATTTTTAATAGAATATTTTGTTTAAATTTTAGATGACTTTCCTGTAAAAGCTATTGTCAGTCTCATTTTTCAGATGATGTAATTGCGAACTGGAGAAGTTGTTTCTTGTCCAAATCACACAAGTGCAAGGGATAGAACTGTTTCTCAAACCATGGACTGACCTGATTCTATATCCTTTGCTTTAAACTAGCTTGCCGTCCCTCACCAGGCCCATTTTGGCTATCCGGCACTACTTTCTGAGAAGACAGCTCTAATAATTGTTGTGAGAATTTCTAAATTAAATTCACCATTTTCTACCCCCAAATTTACCCTGCTATCTTCATACTGTATCTTGGTCAATGTTAACTCTGTCCATCCAGGCAACAAAGCCATGCTCATGGACGTCATCTTCACCATTTGTTTCCCCTCACACACCACACATTAAATCAGTCACTAAGTCATATAGATTCTAACGGCCTAAAGTTCCTCAATTATGTTACTTCTCCATTTCCGTAGTAACAACAACTCTGTTTCCTTTGGATCACTGCAGGAATTTCAAGTCTGGTCGACCCCAATGCATTGTTCACACTGACTTCAGGCATTATCTTGGGCTGTTGTGAGGAATAAATTATATAAAATATGTTCAACATTCAGGACGGCATCTGACATTTAGTAAGCGCTGTTCAAATGTTGATTATTATCATCATCAATGTCATCATCACCATCTTTCTAAAATGAAAATCTTATCAGCTAATGTCCCAGATTATAAATCTTTCAATAGATGCTAACAGATTAGAAGGTAGATTTTAACTCAAGTTAAAATTCCTAACAAAGAACTAGCTTTCCAAATGGTGCTCTGTTTCATGCCTACTTACCTTTACGTACATTATTCCATATTTTCCTGAAATTTATTCTTTTTCATTATTTACCTACCCACTACTCAGATTTAAAAAATTCACACTAGCATAACCTCCTCCAAGAAGGTTTTATTAACCTCTACAGTCTAATACATATTTCTTTTCCATATTCTCTCACAACAGCATACATATCTCAAATTCAGATCCTTCTCATAGCCCCTCATATAAATTTCTGGAGACAAAATGGTATAACCTCTATGGCTAATATAGACTAAACATGGAGAAGGACTTTACAATAAAAAGAATGAACGTAACTTGAAGTACTTATTACTTTTTTTTTTTTGACAAAAACAGGATAGGTCCGTTTATCAAATTGAAATTCTATCCAAGACAGTTTCATGAATATAAATTACTTGAGTTATCAACTCACTCATACAGTTTTTGGAAATGAGTATCTACTGAGAACCTTTCTCAGAGCCACCTTCACTTCTTTATTTCTCAGTGTGTAGACAAGGGGGTTGAGTAGTGGGGTGATCACAGTATAGGTGACTGCCACAAGCCGGTCCTTATCTGAGGAGTACAGGGATGTGGGCCTCAAGTAGATAAAGGAAGCACAGCCACAGTGGATAATGACCACGGTGAGGTGGGAGGCACAGGTGGAGAAGGCCCTCCACTGTCCCTCCACTGAGGAGATCTTGAGGATGGTGAAAACAATGAAGATGTAGGAGATGAAGATCAACACTAAGGGAACCAGCAAAACCAGAATGCTGAGGAGGAAGATGATCATTTCTTTCAGGTTACTGTCTGTGCAGCCCAGTTTTATGACAGGGAAAATGTCACAGAAAAAGTGGTTGATCTGATTGGAGGCACAGAAGGGTACACTAAACACCAGGACATTGACAACCACAGAGATCAGGAAACCACAGAAGCTGGAGGCTAGAACCAACTGCATGCAGGTGGCTCTGCTGACAATGAGTGTGTAGTTGAGAGGGTTGCAGATGGCAACATAGCGGTCATAGCCCATTACAGCAATTAGAAAACAGTTGGTACAAGCCAAGCGCACAAAGCAATAGAGCTGGGCAGCACATCCAGAGAAAGAAATAGTCGGACTTGGAGAAATCAGCTTGGTCAGCATTTTTGGTACAATGGCCAAGGTGTAGCAGGTTTCAGAGCAGGAGAGGACAAACAGAAAGAAGTACATAGGGGTGTGCAAAGCCCGGGCCAGACAACTGACAGTCATGATTGTAGCATTGGCCATCAGAGTGGTCAGGTAGACCACAGGAAGATAAAGAAGAGAAGCATCTGCAGACCTCTTAGGTTTGAGAAGCCTTTGAGGATAAACTCCATGATCATGCTCTGGTTCTGTCTCCTCGTGGGTCAGTGGGTATTCAGATTCTTTCAAAAGTGAGAAATAATTTGACAAAAGTAAAATGCACTCAAAGAAACCGTATTTGTGTTTCTGTACAAAGCTGATAATATCTGTCTGAAAAAAGGAGTAACAAATAAATTAAGTACACTGATCAGGGGTTGGGGTAAAAGCAGGAGGCATGAGGAGTAGTGACATAAATAATATCCCAGTTCAAACATACCTGGAGAAACTTACTTGTGTAAGTTGTTTCCATTATTTGTGTTCTTATGTGTATAGAAGCTTCATACTTGGGTTAAATCAAACAGTGATTTAGAGTTCATTTAATCCCATCATTTTATGGAAGGAGAAACTGAGGCTCAAAAGCATTAAACCATTTGCTTAACCCAAATGAGAGCTACAGTCCTTAGAAATCATTATCTTCAAAGTCATCTTATGAAAATCTGATGGGAAAAAACAAAAGCAAATGAAAAGTGACCTATCCAGTCCTTCGCATACGTGACTCAAATACTGCTTGCTTAGATGTAATGAAGTATTTTCATTTATTTGAAAGTGTTGAGATTTATTTACCCATGATCAATTATGAAGCCTTTGAGATGGGCTTAGAATGATTCCATATTGGGATTTCCTTTGTCATGCGTGCATGGGAATTTGGAAATAAGAATCTAATTAAAGCTCAAATTATGCTCAGAGAATGATGAAGTGTGGGCTGAGACCTCCACTTTTTTGGCCTCTACCTCATTCTCTATTGCCTCCATGATGTTTTCAGAACAACTCTCACCATCATTAGTAGGAAGATCTATGGTTTGATTTGGAGATCACATAATGTTAAAACCTTCATAGCAGCTTTAGACAATCAGACAATCTTTATATTAGAACAAAGCTCAGGAATCTTCTTGATCAGCGCTCAATTCTGCATAGCATAGGGTTCTGCAGCATTGCTACAAGGGAGAGCAGTTCTCACATCCAGTATCAAGAACAGTGGGTTTCAAAATCCTCAAATTCTCCTTAAATATCTCTCCCTTCCAACAATATTTCTCTTTCTGCTATTTTAAGAGGGAAGAAATCATAGATTTCTTGCGTTTTAATTTTTAATTTTGAGAATTGAAAGATTTTAAATTACTATATGTGTGATATCGACTAATAACAATCCAGAGATTTGGCATTCCAGTGAAATCTGACTTCAGAGGAGAAAACACAGACATTTAGCAGTAAAAATTATTTTAATTGACAGGTTCTTTTAGATAGAAAAGGGCTGAAAGACTATAGCAGGAAGCCTTCCTTTCTATCCATTTTTCATACTGCAACTTTAATATTAATAGCAGCTTCTTGAACATATGTTAGGAAGTCATCATTATCCATTCACTAACTCACATAATTCCATGATAACCTCATCAGGTCTGAAAATATTATTCCCATTTTACATAAGGAACCTAAGGAGAGCACAGTAATCCTGCTGAACTGAGAAGAGTGCAATTTGAGTTGGATGAGTCTAAAGAAACTATACTGTGTGGAGCAAAATATTAAGAGATGGGTCAATTTATGGAAAGTGTTCCAGAAATATCCATATGGATATCTTTGCATATGAGCTGAATACTAAGATGCTTAAGCATAAGATGAAACTCTACAAGACTGAGCAAAGACCTGCTGGAAGGCTCTAAGTTATACAATTCCTAGAAGTCAAATGGCCTTGAGAGACATTTGAGTTCCAGCTAGCTAGAGTGGAAAAATGTCATAGAATATCTGAGAGAGGGAATAAATAACTCAAAAACTCACACCTTAGTAACAAGGATAAACTAGACATCAGTAAAGGCTACTCTCTAACTGCTTTAACAAAAGTGAAAAGTAAGTCTCAATCTACTTATATGTGATCTATTGATTTTCAACAAAGATGTAAGGCAATTCAATGAGGAAAGAAAAGTCTTTTCAATGAATAATGCGAGAAGAATTAGATATACTTGTAAATAAATAAATGTCCAACTTTCCATAAAACAATACATAATAAATTAACTCAAGATGGATTTTACACTTAAATATAAAAATTAAATTAATGAAACTCTAGGAGAAAATATCTGTGACGTTAATGTAGGCAATGGTTTCCTAGAAAGAAAATGAGAAGCACAAACCAAAACAGAAAATAAGAGAGATTAGATTTTATCAAAATTCAAAGCTTCTGCTTTTAGAAAGACATCATTAAGAAAATGAAAAGGCAAACCACATATTGGGAGAATATTGCAACACTTACATCAGACAGAAGACTTCTTGTATCCAGATTATATAAAGAATTCCTACAGGTCAATAATAAGAGGATCAATGGCCCAACAAAAGAAAAAGGGACAATATATTGAATCAGATTTTCTCTCTTTCTCATACACACATACACACACACACAGCCAATAAGCACAGAATAGACAAGCTCAATACAGTAACACACAAATAAAAACAATGATGAGATATCATTATATCCCTCTTAGAATGACTGTCACTCAAAATACAGACAATACTAAGTACTAAAAAAAAATGTGGAGCAACTGGAATCTTCTTACACTGTTAGTAGGAATATAAAATTTCGACCACTTTGCAGAACACTTTGGTAGTTTCTTAAAAAGCAAAACATTCACCTACCAAGTGACCCGCCCTTTCTATGCCTATTTATCTACCCACGACAAGTGGAACACATGTTCACACAAATACTTATACACAAATATTTATAGTAGTTTTGCATGTAGTGGCCCAAATTTCATAAACAGTGAAAAAAAAGAGAAACAAAATATGGTGTACCTAGGCAATGTGATTCATTGAGCAATAAAAAAGAACACAAGTACTCATGCACAATAAACCATGAGTAAAATTCAAAATCATTATGATGAGTGAAATAAGTTAGACCAAAATGAATATTTTGTATTATCTCATCTATATAGAATTCCAGAAAATTTCCAACTAAACTATAGTGACAGAGAGCAGATAGAGGGAGGGATGATTTGCAAAAGTTCAATGATGTGAAAAGATATCTTTACTATTTTGATTGTGGTGATAGTTTCACACATACCACATGTATCACAACTCATCAAGTTGGACATTTTAAATACGTTCAATATAATGTAGGTAAAACACATCCTATTAGGTAAAATACATCCTATTAAAGTAATTAAGAAATAAATCCCTGAAAGAAGTAACTTACCTACAAAGTAAGATAACTGCTTGCCATAATAAAACTGTAATGTTAGAAGTATATAACAAAAACATACGAGAGAACGAAATGGAACTTTTAGAAATAAAATAAATAATATCAAAAATTTAAAAAAAACACTAGGTCTGATTATATATTGATTAGACATTGTAAAAAAGGTTCAGTGCACTTGAAGATATAGCAATAGAAAATATCCAAAATGAAGCACAAAGAGAAAAAATTCTTAAAAAAGTAAAGAGGGTCTAAGTAACTGGTAGAACAAAAGAAAACATTTAAAAACATATATATATGGAGTGTCAGTAAAGGAGGCAGAAAAATTATTGAAAGAAATAACTGCTGAAACTTTCCAAATTTGATGAAAGTGTAAACCCATAAGTTAGGAAGTTCAAAGAATCCAAAACAGTATACATACGAGAACCATACCAAAGATTGTCATGATCTAACTGCTACAATAAGTGATAAAGAGAAAATTTTTTAAGCATCCAGAGAATAAAATATATCTTATAGACAGTGGGGGAAAAAAGCTACCAAACACTACAGAGATTTTAGAAAAGTGAAAGCTATATATAATTCTTTTTAAAACTCTAGCATTTGATATTCAATGAAACTATCACTCAAAAATAGAGGGATAGACAGGAGGAGATCCAAGATGGCGGCGTGAGTAGTCCTTTGTCTCTCCCCCTTCAAATCTACAACCAATTGGACATTCATTGCTTAACAAAGGATATCCATAGAGCATCTCAGGACGCCTGAGAGACCCACACTGCTATACATCGGAAAGCGGACGGACTTCCCTCCACGAGGAGGTGGAGATAGGTGAAAACTCTCCGACCCTGACCCCCAAACAGCCTAGTACCTGAAAGCAGCTTTCTTCCAGCGGACGCCCCCAGAACATCGCCACACACCAAGGGCAGGAGGGAGCGTACATCAGAGGAGCGACGGTGGAAACAGGTGACCAGTGCCCTACCTAAGCCCCCAGCAATTACACCTAAGCCCAGAGGGAAGCTCCAGAGTTACACACCAGAGGAGGCGGTGTAATCCCCTACCTGCCATTAGCAGAGAGGCCCTTCCCAGCATCCACAATGCCGGGAGGCTCCCAGAAAGAATCCCAATGGGGCAGCAGCCTGCCAGCTGCCACCACCTGTCTCACGGACTGCAGCTCTCACCCGATCTGGGCTTGGGGCTACCAGAGATCTCCTGGGAGAGGACTGGGGCTGGGTGGAGCTCCAGCGGCTGGTTCCACGGCCCGGGGAGGAAACTCCAGAGTTCCATCCGGGCAGCAGGCAAAGTCTCTACCTGCCATTAGCGGAGAGGCCCCGCCCAGCATCCACAATGCTGGGAGGCTCCCGGAGAGAATGCCAAATGGGGTGGCAGCCCGCCAGCCACTGCCGCCGGCCCCACTGACTGCACTTATCGCCCGGTTGGGGCACAGGGCTACTGGAGATCTCCTTGGAGAGGCCTGGGGCTGGGTGGAGTTCTGGCAGCTGGCGCCGTGGCCCAGGGGGAAATTCTGGGCTTCCGTCCTGGCAGCAGGCACAGCCTCTACCTGCAAATAGCAGAGAGGCCCCGCCCAGCATCCACAACACCAGGAGGGTCCCGAAGAGGAGAATCCCAGGCAGGGCAGCAGCCGGCCAGCTGCCACTGAAATCAAGGTCTCCGGCTATCCCCCAGACAGGGCAAGGGGCTCCCCGAGATCCTGGGGGACAGGACTGGGGCTGGGTGGAGTTCCAGCGACCTGGCTCCATGGCCCAGGGGGAAACTCTACAGTCCCACAGTAGCCTCAGAGAAAGACTCTGCACAGCACTAGTAGAGA